GGGGTGGGTACCCTGGTGGAGTGGTGATGGCCTGGTAGTAATGGAAGACGATGAGGATTAGATTCCAGTGACTGTAGAAGAAATGCCAGCAGAGGCGTGGCACTGAGTAGGTTCGGAGGATGAGCGGCAGGACACATAGGTAGGCGATGGCCACAATGGAGCTGGTCAGCACGATCACCAGTACCACAAATACCTGCCAACACCAGTGATGTCAGGTAGACACAGCAAGAAAGCTACACCCACAGGAAGTGCAGGAATTTTTCTCTGGGCAGGAACCTTGCCTCCAGAACCTAGTGTGGGTCCACCAGAAACACATCCCTCTGCTCCCCTAAAACATCCCTCTTCCTGCTGCCTGGGCATCACTTACCACCCCAAACCAGCGAATCACGTTGTCCACCAGCCAGTAGACAGGTTCAAAGGCAGCATCAACAGCGGTTTCACTGCCCCCAAAGGAGTTGTAGAGCAGGGAACGCAGGCAGACCTTGCCGTAGCGCCAGCGCTGCACCAGGCCCCGGAGCAGAGGTGGGCAGCGGCGCCTGTAGCCCAGGAGCAGAAGCAGGCGCAGGCAGAGGCGGGCTGGGCCCAACAACAGGCTCCGCTGGCCACGCATGACTCCTAGAAGGGCATACTATTGTGAAGAACTGGCCTGAATCCTACTGCTCCCTACCTCACCAGTAGGAAGGCCTAGGGCACCAGCTTGGAGGGCAAACACCCAAGTTAAGGCCCAGTTATGACCGTCATCAACTATGGGAAGCAGAAAGGTCACTTCACTTTTCTACAGAATGTTCAGTGCCAGAGCCACAACCAGATTTCAGGAGGTAAGGACTGGAAATTCTGAGCCTACAGAAATCATATTTACATTATACCACGTAAGTACACAGCAAATCCAACATATATACCTACGTACCTAGAATAAAGGGCCACCATAAAGATGTAAGGGAGACCCAGGCGGCTCCAAATCAAAGGAGTCTTTGGAGCTGTCTGTGTAGACAGAAGAGTGGGTAGAGCACAACCAACACAGGCAAAGCTGCCCTCTGTGTCTCAGCAAGGCCAATGTTGCAGTTCTTCGGGGTTTCCTGCTTGCCAAGTGGCACCACCAAGTGGCACTTGCCTCACCACGTGCCCCACCAAGTGGATTCCTCCACCTAGGTCTTCTTTGGTGCTATCTGAGTCTTGGCAAAAGATACTCTTCCTATCCTACTCCCTCTGGGCTGATGTTACAGGCCAGCAGAGATTCCATCTCATGTCAGGACAGTCAGCCACCCCTTGCATGACAGTGGATGCCTTGTCTCTCATTCCATTCCCAGCCCGCTCCCAAGGATATAGCAGCCAAGACAACTTCAAATATTCAGACCAAGAGAACACTGAGGCAGGAGACAGAAGTCAGAGGGATTTCCATGTTAGTTCATGAACCCCTCTCCATGTAAGCCTTCCACTCGTTATTGACACTAAGAACATTCTCTGCAGCTGCTGTCCTTGGCCCCAGGCTTCCCAATCCTTCCCAGCTCACCAGCTCTTTCCAGGGCACCTCTGCAAGTGCCTCCATTTCTGTACTCTCTACCTTACCAGCGTGTGAGATCACTGCCCAGGCAATGAACAGAACTAAAGATACAGATGCTCTAACAGACTCCTTCTGTGACTGTCTCAGTTCTGCAGATTAAGTCTTTTACCAGAAAAGAAATTATCTGATTTTCCCCTAGGACAGCCAGTGAGGGCTTCTCTGTCCTTAGCAACTCCACTGACTTATTTAACAGGCAGCTCAAAACCCAGTGGAAACTGGAGGAGGGTGCTACACCTTAGGAATGGTTTCAGTTCAGTAACTGGAGCAATGTACTCTCCTTGCACCCTGGCTCATCCCCACAAAGGGCCTTTCAAAGAAAATACTTAATTACCTCTTTCTACAGGCTCATAAGCCCTAAAGCAAAAAGTGCCAGCAGATAAGCCCTACAAAAAAAAAAAAAAAAAAAAAGAGAAGACTGCCAATTTGGGAAGGACTGGCCCACTGCACCAGGATAAAGAAACTGGCAATTCCCAATACCTCCTAGGAAGCTGAGAGAATTAAAGTGGAGTGTAGAAAAGAGACAAGGCTGGGTCTGGGGATTTAGCTCAGTGGCACAGCGCCTGCCTGGCAAGCACAAGGTCGTGAGTTCGGTTCCTGGTACCGAAAACCACCGCCCCCCCCCGCCCTAAAAAAAAGAAAAGAGACAAAGCTGAAAACCTCACACTTACCTTTTCTGAGTTGGACTCCTATTGTTTAGAACCATGGTTTGACTGAAGCATGAATTTACAAAATAATAGCCACAATCAAATATAAGAGTGGAACAAAACAGATTGCCCCACAATAAATCTAGGTGACTTTTGGACTGTCCACACCATTGTACATTCCCTTACTATGGATGAGAGTTTACCTTTGCTAAAATACTTTTTATAGCAATAGTGTGCCAATCAGATACATTCTTCACCTGTAATAAATGTGAATTATATTCTACCTTAGAACCTCCTTTTAAAGAAAAAAGATTCTCCAATTCTCTACTTTTTTATATTCTCAACCACCTCCTGAATTCCTAAGCTCTATATCACATGCCTACTTCATAGACTATATTTACCAACTCTTATACCCTAATTCTGCCCCTAAGTAGTTCTGTTACCTTGGACCAATCACTGAACCTTAGTAAAATTCACTATCTTTGTGTTCTCTTCAATAAAGGGATCAGACTATATGTTAAAGTCTGTTCCAATTTTAACTGTTTATGAATATATATATATATATATATGGTATAAATGAAACATTTATGAAGGACTTAGCACAATACCAGCCTCATGGAAGTACTCAGTAAATAACTTGTTTAGGTTGTGGTGCTGGGAACTGAACTTAGGGCCTCCTCGTGCATGATACACAAACACTGTCCTGCCGAGTTACATCTCCAGCCCTTTGTTTTTATTTTTTGAGACAGGATTTTGCTTGCTAAACTGCCCAGGCTAGGCTCAAACCTGGGATCCTCCTACCTTAGCATCCCAAGCAGCAGGGATTACAGGTAGGCACCACCACACCCAGCTTCAATAAACACTTGACTGAAGGACCTGCAGGGATGCAGAAGTAAAAAGGGCTGGTTACATGTCTATCAGTCCCACACCTAGCATCGGGGCACCCCTGCCAATGTGGTAATACTAAAGCAACTGTTACTATCATTTTTCCTGATTAATAAAGAATGAATGCTGGGCTTCGTGGTGCACACCTGTTGTATTCCCAGCACTCGGGAGGAGGACGGCCAGAGTTCAAGGCCAGCCTGCGCTACATAGTGAGTTCAAGGTAGCCTAGACTACATAGTAAGACCTTGTCTTGAAAGAAAGAAAAAGAAAGAAAAAGTGAAATGGAAACCGTTATTAGAATCATAGTGTTAAAGAATGGGCATTTTAGGACACAGAAATCACCCAAACACATAAATGGAAGCTTATCATTGCAGAAGTGCAGGTCAGATTTGAGAGGACAAGCGAGGCTGGCCCCACACTTTAACTGGTGGGATATGGGGAACATGAAAATGTCAAGGAAAAGTTATGTTGTCCATGACCATAACTGAAACCGAAATTTCAATTCAGGAAATTGAGGTAAAGCAAAATTCAAAATATTACGTGTGCATGAGGAATGTGATCTCAGAGTGAACAGAGGAGAAAATGGCAAAACACAGCTCTATCACATGAAGCAGACACTGACTAGTCTCGGCCCTCAGTGGCACTCACAGGTCATAGTGGCCATCTGCCACCAGATTAGGGTTTGAGGCCACAGCTCCCCTCACCCCAGGCCTCTAAAGCACCATCTGTTTCCAGGGGATGGAGAAGGGGACATATGTAGGAACAGATTCCAAAGCCATCAAAAAGCAGATTAAACCGAGCAAAGTCATGGCAAATTTCATCTGGAGAAAGACACTGCTCTCAGAATGTTTGCAATCTCAAGCAGGAAACGTCAAACACCAGTTAAACAGCAGTGTTTTATTCATGCACAGACTTCCCTTCTGGGCTAACATGCTTAAAAAAGAAGGAAAAACGAGTAGTAACTGTATCATAAAGCTGTTCATCCTGCTAGCTGTGGTGCTACAGGCCTGTAATCCCAGCATTTGGGAGGCTGAGGCAGGAGGATCACTGTGAATTGTAGCCTGGGCTACAAAGTGAGGTCAAGGCCACTGCATAGTGAAACCCTGCCTCAAAAAAAAAAAAAAAAAAAAAAAGCTGCTCAACCAAAGTTATGAAGGGGCCAACACAACCAAAGGATCTGATCTCTAGACTGCAAGCTGCAGCTACAAAGACCAGGAAGACCAGGAGGCTGCAGCTACAAAGACCTCTCAGCGAGGGCGGTGTGGTAAAACTGTGATGGACTGAAGGCCAGAAAACTTAGGTTCTAGCTTAGACTCTGTTGAATTATCTTCGCGACTTTGGACAAGTCAAACCCCGTCTCTGGAAGTGAGTTTGCAAACCTGCGAAATGGGCAAGATGGGCTGGTTGATCTCCTTCCCGCTCTGCACGTTACAGCCTCCCCGAGGGTGCGCTCTGTCAGAGGCGGGCAAGGTCCTGCAGGGCGGGCGAGGAGAGAGCAAGAACCCTAGCTTGCGACAAGGCCCCGGGACACGCGCGGTTCGACCCCAGAAAAAAAGGATGCCGAGCATGGGCCGTGGCTTCTCCTTACCTGCCGTCTCCCGATTCCTCAGCCAACTGGAGCCCCGCAAGCCTCTACTGCCGTCCACTACCAGCCCTCCCGCTCCACGCCGGGAGCGGCTCAATCCTACCCACCATGGCAAGCCGCCCGCAGCGCCAGCCAGTGGACCCGGACCCGCGGCCAACCCATCCCGGATCACCAGCGCAAGCGCAATCACTGGAGTCCCGAAGTCCCGCCCCTGGTTTGGTCCCGCGGGGATCCTGGGAAATGGAGTTTACACGCGATGAGTGACTTCTTATGATCACATGACATGACACACCAATGAAGCTGTATCATACTGCGGAACCACGCCTAGATGTGACCAATGAGAAGTTCTCTTTGTTTTCATCCGGGTTTGGAGACAGTAGCAGTCATGGCGCCGCCCGTGAGGTACTGCATCCCTGGTAAGTGCAGTTCCCGTACGGAGTCTTAGGGATAAAGACTGGAAAAGCCTAGAATCCTGGATGGGTACTGTCAGGCTACACCCCGAGCACCGACCGAGACCACCAGGACAGGCAAGATTGAAGCAAACAGCGATATCTTTACTTCGGATTGGGTGCAGCCTGGCCAAGGGCGAAAAAGCCCTTGGCCCTGAACAAAGGAAGGGGGCCTGCTTTATAGACTATTTTAGGTATGGAAGGGGGAAATTCCACTGAGGAAGGTGGAAAATTTCAGTTTCTCAGGGGTGATTGGTGGGTCTGGTGCCTCTCGGGGAGGGAAGTGTAGGAGGACATCTGCATGTTGTCGATTTATAGCGTGGCATTCAGTAGACTCACTCATTCAGTAGACTCACTAAGCCTGAGAACTAGGCGTGGGAACCATCCTGATAAACAGATTTACTTTAGTGTCTCGAGCTGCGTGAGGGGCTTTCTGTTTGAACAGACTGGTTGTCAAGAGTTTTTCTCTTCAAGTTGGGTGAGGTACAATGTGAGGGACCTAACAGCCGCCAGTTTCTGGGAGCCAGTGGCCGACGCAGTGTTCTTTCTGCAGGCGAACGTCTGTGTAACTTGGAAGAGGGTAGCCCGGGCAGTGGCACCTACACCCGACATGGCTACATCTTTTCGTCCCTGGCGGGTTGTTTGACGAAGAGGAGCGAGAACGGCGCGGTAAAGGAGGAGGCTTCCCATCTGCTCTTTGACCTTCTTTAGGTCGCCCTTTGGTTCTGATCCTTAGACACCCACACTTCGGATGCGCCTTCCGTGCTCACCGGAGAACGTTTTGGTCTCTTCTCCTGTGATCGCCCCTACTGTGCACAATGCCACCACACACCCGTTAGGTGGATGGTTCTTGGTTGTGCTCCTCACTCGGAGAGGGAAGTTGGGCCAGAGAAGATGCAAACCAAGAATAGCCGGGTTAGCTGAATTGTGTCTGTCGCCTACCTGTCCTCCTTCATCTAGCTCCACTATCTCCACCTCACTGACTACAGAGCTTTGTGCACGTGCCATCTATCTAGAACACACTTCTTCTTAGCCTCTGTTGGGCTGGGGATTTAGCTCAGCAGCACAGTGCCTACCTGGCAAGCGTGAGGTCATGAGTTTGATTCCGGTACTGGAAAAAAACAAAAACAAAAAAACACACTTCTTCTTAGCCTCTGTAACTCCCACCTCTTTCAGAAAGCCTCTCATGTTCTCAGAGGTGTGCTTCTAGACCTGCTGCTTGCAGAAAGAGGTTGAGGGGGTTGTTAAACGTTCACAAAAAGCTCTATTCCTTTCCTTCATCGTGAAACTAAACATTCAGGTATATGTTCTCCACTACACTCTTCCTCAGATGGACATAAGTTCCATGAAAGCACATCCCACCATACCTTCAGTGTCCAGCGTAAGGTAGATGCTCAATAAATGCTTGTTAGATCCATGAATCTGTCCTAGTTCCAGAAGTTGGTCCAGGGTTAGCTCAAAATCAGATAGTCTTTGAAGGAGCAGCATAAAGCAACAAGTAGCCCAAAAGAAGATTAAGAGGTAAAACATCTTGCCGGGTGTGGTGGCGTACGCCTGTAATCCCAGCACTCAGGAGGCTGAGGCAGGAGTATCCTTTCAAGATAGAGGCCCGCCTGGGCTGCAAAGTGAGCTCAAGGTCAGCCTGAACTGCATATGAAGACCCTGTCTCAAAAAGACAAAAAAAAAAAAAGAAGACGTAAAACCCTGGAATACCAAACCTAAACTTTCTAACTTTAGATTTCTCTTCATCTGTAAAAAGAGGAGCGTTCTATTCAGCCAATTTTGGGAATGTCCTTTACATTCCTAAGTTTCTTCATTTTGTAGTTATCTTGAGCATTTTCATGGGTCAGGCACGGTGCTGACCTCTGGGGATACAATAATGAACTAGACTCACTTAGTTTGTGCTATCACGGGGCACGGACACAGCATTTAAATAAGTGCTCAAATAGGTGTATGACTACAAATGTCATCACTGCTTAGGAAGAAAATTACACAGCGTCATGAGACTGTGTAACAGCTAAACATTCCTTATCAATGGAAGTGAGATTTAGGCTGAATTGTCTAAGGGTAGCTGGGGAGAATGCAGTTCTGGCAGAAAGAACAAGTTGAACAGAGACCATGAAGTGAGAAAAACAGTAAGTTGGGGAAATTGAAAGAAAACTTAAGCACAGTGAAGAAGGGAGAAACTGATAAAAGATGAGACGAAAGGTATCTGTGTTATACAATAATCAAAGAGAAAAGTGCAAAATATTCCCTTAAGCTAGAAGAAAACAAATATTGCCATTATTAAATGACATCTATTTGGTAATTCTATCCTGGACTGTTAGAGGAGTCATCTGCGATTATAGGCAATACAGTTATGTCTCAGGAGAATCACCAGAAAACATGTTATACCTAAGCAGGAATGTTTAGATTATGTCTTCTAGCAGATTTTATCTTCTCCCTATAGCTCCTTGTCCTGCTCCTAAATTTAATTCACCATGCATCTGGCCTTTTGTTCTCAACCACATCAAGATGTTCCTATGTTTTTCTCAGGCCACAAGTACTTTTATTCAAGGCTTAGCCACAACATTCATTTTATTCTTTTCTCTGTAGCTTCCTGTGGTATCTGTGATGCGGGAAACAGAGTCCCAGTTACTTCCAGATGTGGGAGCTATTGTCACCTGTAAGGTAAGTTGGGCCTAAATCCATGCTGAGCACACAGATCCAATGCTAAAATCATGACCACTCTAGAACTGCAGTCTGATGTGGTAGCCATTAGCTACATAGGCTATTTAAATTTAAGTTTGGCATGGGCACACTTGCGTAATACCAGTTACTTGGGAGGTTGAAGCAGAAAGATCACAAGTTTGAGGGCAGCCTGGGCAATATATTAAGCCCTTGTTTCAAAATAAAAAAAGGCTGAGATGTGCCTCAGGAGTAGAGTGCTTTTCTAGCATATGCAAGGCTCTCACTTCAAACTCCAACTACCAGAAAAAAAGAAAATAATTAATTAAAAGCTATTGCTGATAATCATTAGGTATGTCTAAAATGTACCAATAAAATTTTTTAAAAAAAGTATTGCTGGTGGCACATGCCTGTAATCCCAGCACTTGGGAGGCTGAGGCAGGAGGATCACCACAAGTTCAAAGCCAGCCTGGGCTACATAAGGAGTTCAAGGCCAGCCTGGGACACGTGAGACCTTGTCTCAAAAAAAAAAAAAAAGTATTACTGGGGGTGATGGTGCATGCTTGAAATCCCAGCACTCAGGAGGCTGAGGCAGGAGGATCTGATCCTCCTGGCTCAGCCCGCCACCACACCTGTAACAGGCCCAGGCATATTATCTCAGTTGACGTCTATGGTAACTCTATTAGGTGGCTGCTAAGCTATCTATTAGGATATCTGTGGCTTTTATTCCACAGATATCACTTAGGCAAAGGTAAGTAGGAGTTAACTTGTCTTAAATTCTACTTGGAGCCGGGCGTGGTGGCACACGCCTGTAATTCCAGCACTCGCCTGTGGGAGGCTGAGGCAGGAGGATCATTGTAAGTTCGAGGCCAGCCTGGGCTACAAAGTGAGCTCAAGGCCAGCCTGAACTGCATAGTGAGACCTTGTCTGAAAAAGACCAAAAAAAAAATTCTACTTGGTGGAATTGCTGAACTAAAATCTTAGTGATTCCCAGTTTATTGCTACTTCCTTGAACTGACAATTGCTAATGTTTCCTGTGCTGATCCTTTCTCTGTCCCATAGGTCTCTAGCATCAATTCACGTTTTGCTAAAGTTCACATCTTATATGTAGGCTCTACACCACTTAAGAACTCTTTTCGAGGAACTATCCGGTAAGGAGTATTCTTGTCTTCATATTTGCCCTAGCACCTGGTGTGAGACTACAATAGTTGGGAGAGTTGATTTTTTGCTTTATTTTGTTTTGTTTTGTTTTGAGACAGAGTCTCATGCTTGGCTAAGAGTTGAATTTTAGAACAATTACTATTCCTACTCCTGCCTACTTTTGTCTCTCTTTTATGCTTTGATTTTCCCTGTAGTAGCCAAAGAAAATGTTCTATGGGCTAAGACAAAAGGAAAAAATTAATGAAAGAGAATTTAAAAATAAAACAAATTGAGCAAAGGTAAAAATAAGCAGCATAAGGGTGAGTCAGGCCAAACAAAGGTCAGAGAAGGCATTTTAGGAAGTACCTTTTTAAAACACATTTTATGTAGATTAAACCCAAATGTTATTAGACATTAAGAAGTTTTTGGAATGGGATGTGTGGCACACACATGTATTCCCAGCACTCGGGAAGCTGAGGCAAGAGGATCACCGTGAGTCCAAGGCCAGCTTGGACTACACAGTGAGTCCAAGGCCAGCCTGAGTTATGCAGTGAGACCCTGTCTCAAAAAACCCAAAAACAGAAAAGAAGTTGTGGGGAAACAGTAGGTTATTTTTTTCTGTGGATTGTTTGAGGAAGAACAAACACTTACTGCAGGCCAGATAGTTTAATTTTCAAGGCCCTTCTTAACCCCAGGGTTCTATGTGATTCTGTAGTGCTTTCATTCAAGGGCTCTTGAAACAGCAAAGTTCCTCACCATTTCTTGCCAAATCTCTTATGCTTTTCTCTAGTCAGAGCTATCCATACTGATGCTTTGTGTGTACAAGAAGGGGAAATGTTTTCTCCTCTCAGTGTGGACTAAATCTGCCTCTCCTCCCTGCTTCCCTGAGTGGCAGCTATGTCCCTGTTGTAACTCGTCCTGTATGCTCTTATCCTGTAGTTCTTTGGCTGCTAGAACCTACAGGGTAATTTTTTCTTATAAATAATTAATATTTCTGTTAATTCTTTTTTATAGCAAGGAAGACGTCCGAGCAACTGAAAAAGACAAGGTTGTTGGTCGATTTGGGCTTCTTTTTTTTTTTTTTTTTGCATGGCTGTAAGAATCTCAGTTTTGTAAAAGTATTACCCTAGGGAATTTCAAAGATCCATAGAAATGCGGAATCTGCAAATTTGAGGCCAGCCTGGGCTACATAATGAGTTTAAGGCCAGCCTGAACTGCATAGCGAGACCCTGTCTCCAGAAAAAAAAAATTTGAGGACGGGCATGGTGGCGCATGCCTGTAATCCCAGCACTCAGAAGGCTGAGGCAGGAGGATCATTGCAAGTTCGAGACCAGCCTGGGCTACAAAGTGAGCTCAAGGCCAGCCTGAACTACATAGCAAGACCCTGTCTCAAAAAAGACAAAAAAAAATAAAAAATAAAACATAAAATTTTTTGACTACCAGTTGTGTTGGCACATGCCTGTAATCCCAGCACTCAGAAGGCTGAGGCAGGAGGATTGCCATGAGTTTGAGGCCAACCTGGGCTAAATAGTGAGTTCAAGGCCAGTCTGAACCACACATCAAGACTCTATCTCAAAAAAAAAATTGTTGACTGACTTGAATAATAATATCTGGCCCCTGGGATATAGAAAGTAGACTGGCTCAGGCTGGGGATATGAGAGATTGCTTACCATCCATAAGGCCCTGGGTTCAATCCCAATCACCTCAAAAAAAAAAAAGAGAGGGAGCATAAATAGATAAACTGGCTGTACCAGGGGGTTAATAATTTCACACTTAACACTCCTGTTCTTTCTGTGCAGGTTGAAATTTATAAGAGTTTCCGCCCAGGTGACATTGTCTTGGCCAAAGTGGTATCCTTTATTCTCAGCAAACTTCTGAAGGTCCTTTCTCAAAAGCAGAAATGAAAGTAGAGAAACAACTCAAGTAGCTGTGGGGAGAAGACTTGAAACTGCTCATTTTCCTTCACCAGTGCCAATGACTAGATCTCCCTTGGTGACGCACAGTCCAATTACTTACTGACCACTGCTGAAAACGAGCTTGGAGTGGTAGTGGCCCACAGTGAGTCAGGTGAGTGGGTCCATGCTCCCACATCTGAACTTGTCCTTGGCTTAAGATGATACCACCTAGTGATGCTGTGGATCTCTTTTAGTTTCTACAAATATATTCTGTGAGGTTCATCCAGTGACGGAATCATTTTTCAAAACATAGCCCCATCGTGAAGCAACCTATGTCTGTGCTTACTGCTGAAATTAGAATGGTTTTCCTAAATCTAACAAAACAGGGAACTCACCCCATAGCTCAGTGGGATAAACAGGACTTCTTCCAGGTGAAGTGAGTTTCACTACGTGACATTTTTTTTTTTTAAGGTAGTGCTGAGGGTTAAACCCAGGGCCTTGCCCATGCTAAGCAAATGCTCTGCCACTAAGCTACACCCTCAGCCCAAAACTTTAATTTCAGATGCAGCTGAAAAGAGGAGTCTCAGGGAAATATTTGGGGTCCCAGCTCCCACATTGGCTTTTTCCTTGCAGGTGTCCAGATGGTTCCCATTAGCTGGTGTGAGATGCAGTGCCCGAAGACCCACACAAAAGAATTCCGGAAAGTGGCCCGAGTGCAGCCTGAATTCTTGCAGACCTGAGAAGCCACATTTTACCCCAGGGAAGGGAGGATACTATTTACAAGAGTACATGTATAAAAATTACATGGAGATCTCATGGTCTTTATTCAGATACCTAGGTCATCCAACAGCGTCCTCTACAAAAATCTGCTAGTAATTTACTCTATACATAGACCACTATTCTTATGAACCTTTTAGTGAATTTCATCCTCCTGAATGATGAAACTTCTCTTTTAGAGACACCACCAAACAAAACTATAATGTTGGAAATAGCCTAGTCCTCCTGATAGTCACTAGAAATATGTATATTTTTGCTGTGACAAAGAAAACATTTTCACATCCAGGCATGGTAGCACACACCTGTTATCTCAGCTCTCAGGAGGCTGAGGCAGGAGGATTATTATGAGTTCAAGGCCAGACTGAACTACATAGCGAGGCCCCTGTCTTAAAAAACAAACAAACAGGTCAGGCATGATAGCATGGTTCCAGTACTCAAGGGACTGAGACAAGAGGAACTCTGCAAGTTTGAAGCCAGCCTGGGCTACATAGTAAGTTCAAGGTTAGCTCGAACTATATGGCAAAATCCTGTCAAAAAAACAAAATAGCCAGGTGCAGTAGTGCTTGCTTGTAATCCTAGGACTTGGGAGGCTGAGGCAGGAGGGTCACTTTGAGGTCCAGGCCACCTTGGACTGCATAGTGAGTTGAAGACCAAGCTGAACTACATAGACCCTGTCTCAAAAAAAAACGCCAAAAACAAAAATTTTTCTGAAAGGATTCTCAAACAGGCAAACGGAAAAACATCTAAATCATATCATGACTTTTTTTTTTCTTTTTTGAGACAGTCTTGCTATGCAGTTCAGGCTGGCCTTGAGCTCACTTTGTAACCCAGGTTGGTCTCGAACTCCCAACAATCCTCCTGCCTCAGCCTCCCGAGTGCTGGGATTATAGGCTTGCGCCACTACGCCCAGCCATGTCATGACTTTTAGAGCAGATGTTCTTTTTGTTAACTGCTGTCCATTAACTACCATGTGTCATCTGGCTGCTTGCTCTGGACAAAACTGACTGTCAATTTCTTGTATTTTTGTGTTCTGAGTACTTCTGCATTCTAGGTGCCAAGCCTTAGGGCAGGCATTCTGTGTACACCCCTGATTTAGGCACATTGCAGTTGAATGGAAATTATAAGACATGCCTGGTAATCCAGGTAGCATGTGAGTAGTCCTGAAAAAGTGCTTAGTAAACACATTTTTATTGACATAGTAGGAAATATTTGTTAAATCTGAATAGAAAAGAGGGACAGAGCACCATCAGGTGAGGTGGCCAGGGAAAGATTTGTAACATGAGAACAGAAGGAACTCGGATAAGTGAAGTGAAGATTTCCAGGCAAAGAGAAGCCCTAGCAAAATGCTGAATTAGAAATGAGATTGTAAGTTTGGGTATGAGGAGAGGATAGAAGAGGAAGAAAGGCTGCAGAGAATATGAAGGAAAGAAGAACATCAGGTGGCTCTTCTAAATTTTTACTTATTTATTGGGAAGGGGCAGGATACTAGGGCCTAGGGCCTTTGGATTGAGCTACATCCCCATCCATTTTTTATTTTGAGACAGGGTCTTGTTCAGTTGCTAACTGCCCATGCTGGGCTTGAACTTTGATCCTCTGGCTCAGCCTCCTAGAGTGCTGTAGTCACAAGTGAGGTGTTACTTGAGGTGCCCATGACCTGACGGCACTCTCAGGATGAGCTCTAGAGGCAGCCCGCCTGCCTTTGTGTCCTCGAGTTGCTAACCTTCTACTTCTGCTTTTTAAATTTTTTTTTTTAATTTTTTTGTTTGTTTTTTTCCAGTACCAGGAATCAAACTCACAACCTCATGCTTGCCAGGCAGGTGCTGTGCCGCTGAGCTAAATCCCCAGCCCTGCTTTTTTAATTGAAAATTTTATTGTCATGACTGTAGACCCACATAGTTTTTCATTTTGTTTTGTTGTGTTTGCAGTGCTAGGGATCAAACCCAGGCCTTTGTGTACACTGAGCACATGTTTTACTGCTGAGCTATACCCCCAGCATGCATGAAGCCCTACGGTCAATTCCCAGCACTAGGGAAAAATGATACAGAGCTCTTTTGTCTCCTTTGGGCAGTTTCCCTGACTGGTGACGTTTTGCAGAATTATAACATAGCAGGCTGGTGTTATAGCTCAGTGGTGGAGGCCTCCTAACATGCAGGAGGTTCTGAGAGGTTTAATCACCAGAGTGACCCAAAAACAAGACCAAAAAATCCAAAACTCCCAGGATGTCGACACTGAAGTTCTTTTTCTCACTTTATGTTTCCTCATCTTAATAAGACTAGTATGAGAGAAAAATACTTGAGTGCTTAGTACATGGCAGTATTATTGCTAAATGTCATTATTATCATAAGTCTAATTGTTTTCTGTCAAGTGTCTACTAAATACCAGCTCTTAATGCTAGACTTTGCTGTAGGTTGTTTTGTCTATTCCTATTGAGAGATATTATAAAACTTTAGTTTTTTGGTTTGTTGGGGTTTGTTTTGTTTTGTTTTGTTTTGTGACAGAGTTTCACTGTGTAATTCAGGGTGGCATTGAACTCACCATGTAGCCCAGCCTGTCCTCGAACTCCTGGCAATTTTCCTGTCTCAGCCTCCCAAGTGCTAGGATTATAGGCATGTGCCACCAAGCCTAGAAAATTTTAGTTTTCTTATTATAGTGCTGCAAACTTTTTTTTTTTTCCCAAGACAGGATCTTGGGCCAGAGATATAGCTCAGCGGCACAGCACCTGCCTGTGCAAAGACCTGAGTTCAATTCACAGTACCAAAAAAAAAAATTTTTTTTCAGGAATGGTGGTGCACACCTGTAATCCCAGTACTCAGGAGACTGAGGCAGGAAGATCCCTATCCCTGTGAGTTTGAGGCCAGCCTGGGCTACATGAGCAAGTTCAAGGGCAAACTGAATTACATAGTGAGACCCTGCCTCAAAAAAAAAAAAAAAAACAGTATCTCTCTGTGTTGTTCAGGCTGCCTTGAATTCACTCTCTCTCCCAAGCTGAACTATCAGCAGTCCTCCTCCCTCAGCCTCTTGAGTGTTGGATTACCATGCCAAGAGTGCAAATAAAACTCTTAATACTGTTCGTCTTTGTGCATGCCTATGATGCTTTGGCAGAGTAGATTCCTGGAAATTGCCAGGCATGGTAGTGCATGCCTGTAATCCCAGCATTCAGGAGGCTGAGGCAGGTGTATCTGCCAGTTCAAGGTCAGCCTGAATTACAGACCCTGTCTCAAAAAAGAAAAGAAAATGAACCAGTTTCAATATGGAGAACCTTAACTACATGCCTGAAGCTGTGTTCAACACTCGGCATAAAGGAAGCACCCTGGCAAGGGTGAATACATTACGTTGTAAGCTTTACAGTGTTTCAGACCTGTGTCTGAGTGCTTTGCTGCCATGTGATGACTGTGACTTGGAACGAGAAGATGAGTTCATCCCTAGATAAGAAATAGAAGTAACTGCTGCTTTCCAGAAGTTTAGAGGTAGCACATGAAAAATGGCAAATACTGCTTCTAAAACACTCGATTTTGAACATCTTTCTGGGAGCCACCTGGGAATAGAGAGAGGAGGGAAGGAAAGGGCGAGGGACTGCTTTGCCTACTCTTGTAGGAACTGGCGGTGGAGAACAGTGAACATGATGGAACCCTTGTCTTTGCAGAGTATTTCTGAAATTCGGTGTCACAAGAAAAAGTAGTCGTGGCTTTCTTCATGACAGCCCACCCTGTCCCAGGGTGTGATTTTACTTATTTCTCCTCTTATTAATCCACGCTTGCTCTGCAGAGCCACTTTTAATTTTTCCTACCTCGAATAAATGTGAAACCTAACTTTGGCACCATAAAGAAAAGGGAGAAAGAGACGGGAGAAAGGAGAGGGAGAAGGGGGAAGAGAGACAGAAGGGGCTGAGTATGTAGCTTAGCAGAACACTTTCCTAGCATGCTTAAGTCCCTGAGTTCAGTCCCCTCGGCCACTGGTGGCAAACCTATGGCATTTGTGCCACAGCTGGCTGTATTATCACTGAAAGCTCTGCAAGGTTCACCGTCACTGCCCTACCGAAGTAAAAAGATGGTGGCTAGGAGGCCTTTTTTGTTCGCCCAAGCAGCATGTCTGACCTGGGGTATTAGGGATCTAAAGCTGTATTTGAATCGGGATATATCATCTTTGTGTCTTTCTCTTGTCCACCAGTACCCGCTAATTGCAAACAGAACAAGGCTGGTTTTCACTCAGACCAAACTGTATCCAGCTGGATTTAGTTCCCATCTCAGTAGTTTCTAGTGAGAGCATGTGGGTCTCAGTAGCATAGTTTCACTATCTAGTCAGGATGGAGAAATGGAGGCTGGGTGATGCCAGTTTACATATGTTTGCTAAGAGCAATTAAAACAGCAGCTGACGGACTTCTGATTTGTTGCAAACCCAGTTAGATTCTCTTACCCATAAACATTCGATACTGTATGTGCCGATCTCTCCAAGTAGCCTGAACTCCTTTTGGGACAGGATTCTCTCTTACCTTTGAACCCTAGAATACATATCGTGACTTAACATAGCTCAAGTACTCAGTAAAATTTTTGGTGGAGCCCAGCCTAATAGTACACATCTGTGATCCCAGCTATGGGAGAGGCTGAGGCAGGAAGATGAGGAGTTCCAGGCCAGCCTGGGCAACTAAGCCAGGGAAATGTCTCCATTCAGGGTAGTAACTTTGCCCAAGGCCAGTGGTTTCCTTGAAGACATTCTCCTTTTCAAGACTATGGTGTAATGGGCCATTTCCTGGGCTGGGGATACAGCTCAGTGGCACAGTGCCTGCCTGGCAAGTGCAAGGTTGTGAGTTCAGTTCCCAGTACCAAAAAAAAAAAATAGAATGTCTTATTAATTAAACCGGGTGTGGTGGCACACGCCTATAATCTCAGCTTGGGATCCCAACTTGGGAGGCTGAGGCAGGAGGATCGCTGCAAATTCGAGGCCAGCCTGGGTTACAAAGTAAGTTCAAGGCCAGCCAGAACTTTGCATAGTGAGACCCTGTCTCAAAAATCAAAACAAAAAACTAAGGAATAGAGAAATGCTAGAAACCAAGTACTCTCAGGATGTAATGGTTCTTCTAAAACTATTAAATCTCTCTTATACGACTTGAGTATGTCATAAACATTTCAAGTCTAATGCTAAGACTTCCTTGGATCACACATATAACACACCACACAGGGAAATATTGCACATCACTCCTTTATTACACTGATCTGGAAAAAAGACTGACTTACAGTTACACTCAAAATGAGTACTGGCTCGGCTCCATGTGGCAGGGCTAAGCCAACTGGAACATGATTCAGAAATCAGACATTGTGAGATGCACTTAGACATGGTCAAGAGGCATTTTCACTGCCACCAAAACAAGGCGGAGGAATCCTAAGATACACAGCAGGATACACTCCTACCCAATAGAGGCCAGAGCTTATCCTGTACTGGTATGAGGAATGGCTTATTTTCTGGTGACCACACGTGGAACTATTCAACCACCACTAGAAGCTCCAGGAGGGTTTTTGTTTAGATACATAATTTTTCTTTTATAGAAAAATTTAACACATGAACTTAATTCAGGATTAATCCCAACCTTCTGGAGCCAGCTCCTCTAGGGTGAGGGAGGAAATTGCTTTTTAGTCACCATGCAGGTTGCATTCATCTCCCACTGGAATGATGAGCTCGCTGACCATGACTGACTATAGAAGAGTGCAGGGCTGGCTCCTGGAAGCACAGTGTGCTCGGGCCTGTCCTTATTGGTCATGCCTTGGCATGGTTATCCCTGTCCCCTATCAAACAGGTCCTTAGTAAACAAAGCAGAAGCACTAGGAAAAACAGAGTTACTACCTCCCAACTCTCCTGGATAAGAAGAGCTTTCCCTGGTCTTGGACTGAGAACTTGTGTCCTAGAGGTACTATTCTGACTAGATTCTATCAAGGGAGTGGGTGCAGGAGCAAAAACGCTAAAATGAAAATGGGAGCCACTGGTCCCCATCTGCAACTACAACAAAGGATGCCTACAGATGCGGTCAGTGTGACAGGTGTGGGGAGAGGTGCGGAGGAATGGGTGGGCAGGGGAGTAGCTGCCTGGTGGTCTTCACTTCTTGGCCTTTCCCTGGGCAGCTACAGCTTCCATGGCTTTGCGCACGGTCTCTTCATCCCCGAGGAACTGCATGGGCTTGATGGGCTTTAAGTTCTTATCCAACTCGAAGACAATAGGAATACCAGTTGGCAGGTTCAGCTCCATGATAGCTTCTTCAGAGAGACCTGGAAATAGCCACCATGATCAGCTACACAGGTATGAACCCACATCTCCCTTCTGGGTTTACTCTTCATCCCCCAGGCACCAAAAGACTTTGGTAGGAATTAAAGCAAGACACCTCTGCTAATCTTTCTAATAGTTCTGATCTGTGTAAGTAGATCCATCCCCCAAGGAATGGACCCTCATCTGAGTTTCTCTAGCCACCAAACTGGAAAGCAAGAACAGATATGAAGAGGATATGCAAGATTCTAAAACGGGCCACCAACAAACTATAGAAAGGTCTATGGCGCAGCTGTCCTACCAAGTGGGACCCAGAGCCCACAGTGAAGGACTACACATCTCACGTGTCCTATAGTAAGTACACAGGACTATACAGGACCTACATAGTACAATCATCTACCACTCAGGAATGAAGTAATTTAAGATGTAAATTGAAATTTATGTGTGAACTTAAACCAGATTGTAACTAAGGAATTTATCAATAGTTTTAATTGGCAGTCCCAGTGTAGAGGAGGACATCCCAACTCTTGAGAGACAGATGCCAATTCTGGGTGAAGTCTGAAATAGAACCTCAGGTTCTGAATGCTTACAAGCTCTCAGGAGGTCCAGCTGTCACTGTTTTGCAGACTATACTTCTCTTTGAGACAGGGTCTCACTATGTAGTTCAGGCTGGCCTGGAACTTACGGCAATCCTCCTGCTTCAGCCTCCCAAGTGCTGGGATTGCAGGCGTGCGCCACCACATCCAACTTGCAGACTACACTTTAAGAAACAAGGGTATGAGGGGTATGACGTGTTTTTCCACTAGGTGTCAATCCCAGACTGACTCTGAGCCACTAGAGATCTCCTTGGTATTAAATAAACCCTTCACTGGTGGCAGATCTGCTTTATCCATCCTTGAAAGCTTCTCCAGAAAACAGCACATACCTTCCAGATGCTTGACTATACCCCGGAGGCTGTTGCCGTGGGCTGCAATCAGGACCCTTTTCCCCTCCTTGATCTGGGGAACAATTTCTTCATTCCAGAAGGGCAGAGCTCTGGCAATAGTGTCTTTCAGACTCTCACAGGAAGGCAGCTGATCTTCAGTGAGGTCTGCATACCTACGATCCTAAAAAACAAATTTCGAGTTCACCAGTTATGAGTGACTGCATCTGTTTTGGTTTTGGGGTTGCGTATTTTTTTCTTTGGTTTTGTTTGTTTTGAGGCAAAGTGTTGCCATGTAGTCCTGGCTGGCTTTGAATTCTCTGTGCAGCCCAGGGTGATCCTAAACTCATGATCCTCCTGCCTCAGCCTCCCAAGTGCTGGCATCACAGGGATGTACTTTGCCTGACTTCTGTCTGTTAAATGGTTTTCACAGTGTTTCAATTCTGCAGTTCCTCGTCCCCTGAGAAGTTAGGTGAATGGTACAGGTTTCTCACAAGGATCCAAAATGTGGCTTGCAGCTTGGAAAGGGTATCATAATCCTGCCTCTTCCTTTCCCATCACCCAACTCAAAAAAATGTAAGAAGGGCGTGGAGGTGCACACCTGCAATCCCAGAATTAGGAGGCTGAGTGAGGTAGGACTGCCCTAAGTTCAGGGCTACCCTGGTCTATACAGTGAGATTCTGTCTCAAAAAAACAAATAAACAAAAGAAAGAGGCAGGGGGCTGGGGATTTAGCTCAGCAGCACAGCACCTGCCTGGCAAGCACAAGGTTGTGAGTTCAATTCCCGGTACGGGAAAAAAACCAAAAAAAAAAAAAAAGGCAGAGTCAGGAGGATCATTATGAGTTTGATGCCAGCCTGTACTACATAGCAAGACTCAAAAGAAGTTAATTTAGCAAAGGAAAAAAGTTGTGTAACATGGTTCTTTCCAATTCATTTTAACTTGCAGTCCAGAGACTATGGGTAGATTTTATAAAATATGGCAATGAAGACAGAAGCCAGTCATGGTGGTACATCCCTATAATTCCAGCTACTTCAAAGGCTGGTCAGGCAAGTGGCTCATGGCTGTAATCCCAGCATTTGGAAGGCTGAGGCAGGAGGACTCCCATGAATGCAAGGCCAGCCTGGGCTACATACTGAGTTCAAAGCTAGCCTGCAGCCAAGCATGGTGGCACATGCCTATAATCCCAGCACTCAGGAGGCTGAAGCAGGAGGATCATTGCAAGTTTGACACCAGCCTGGGCTACAAAGAGAGTTCAAGGCCAGCCTGAACTTCATAGTGGGACCCTGTCGCAAAAAGACCAAAAAAAAAAGGAATTGGCTTGGTTTCGTTTTCAGGCCCTTTTTTTTAAAAAAAGTCAATGACACAGGAGGATCAAAATTTGAGCCCATCCTGAGTAAGAAATAAAAAGGGCTATGATGGGTGTGGCTCAGTGATACAGCACTCCTGGGTTCAAACCCTAGTATCACACACACACAAAAGAGAAATTCCCAGGTAAACAACATAAACTATGAATTAAATCTTAAAATAAGGTCATTCTTTGGCAAAGGAAAATCCCATTAATTTTTTTTTTTAAGAGACAGGAGAGGTCAGGTGTGGTGGAGTATACCTGTAATCCCAGCACTTGGGAGGCTGAGGCAGGAGGATTGTTGTGAGTTTGAGACCAGCCTGGGCTACAAAGTGATCTCAAGGCCAGCCTGAACTGCAGAGTGAGACCCTGTCTCAAAAAGAAAAAAAAAAGAAAGAAAAAAGAGACAGGAGAGCTGAGTATGGTGGCACATACCTGTAATCCCAGCACTAGAGAGGCTGAGGCAGGACTGCCACAAGTTCAAGGCCTATCTACATAGGGAGATCTGGTCTCAAAAAAAGGAAAAAAACAGGGGCTGGGGATTTAGCTCAGCGGCAAAAGCGCCTTCCTGGCAAGCGCAAGGTCGTGAGTTCGGTTCCTGGTATCGGAGAAAAAAAAGGAAAAAAACAACAAAAAGACAAAAAAGGATAAAATGAAGCATACCTATTAACTGTTTTATCATAAATTATAAGGTCAGCAGGACCAAGCAGACATTCATGAAAGTTAAAGTGAGGCTCAGATTCTAAGCCTTGATCCTGGAAGAGTGACTACACCTGGCTGTGTCCATACCTTGCTGATGTTGCTATAGAAGGGATGGTCAGGCTCCATTGGAGGTGGTGGGACATCATAGGAGCGCCTCCAGACCTTCACCTGAGCCTCACCGTGCTTGGCAGCAGTTTCTGCTTTATTAAGGCCAGTCAGACCTCCATAGTGCCGCTCATTGAGACGCCAAGTTCTCACCACTGGCAGCCACATCTGGTCAATGGCATCCAGTACTGTCCAAAGGGTCCGGATTGCTCTTTTCTGCACTGAGGTGAAGCAGATGTCAAATTCATAGCCAGCATCTGTAAATTAGAAGTTACAAGTGATAAGCTAATGAGGTCCATTCTCAGCCACAACTTTTTTACTGATCTTACACAGGCTTTCTGCTTCCTGACAGCCATGACAAAGGCTGCTTTCCTCTGCCAGGTCCCTCTGTCCTGCTGCCCACCATGCAACGACTGACACTTGTGAACACAAGCCAGGATAAACCTCTTCTTCAAAAAATTCTTACAGTACAAGTGAAGGTGATTTGGCCAAACATTTTCTTTTGTATATTCTTTCAGTAATTACAATGTTCTGCCTTCAAGGAAGACAAAATTTGCTAATCTGTGACAGTGGCTCCCTAATAATTCACCTATCCCAAGACTTAAATGCACCAGCTGACCTGAGGCTCTGTGCTGCTTATGCTAATCCCCAGAATGATATGCTTATATACATTTTAAGAATTCCCCCCTCCCCCGGTACCAGGAATCAAACTTACAACCTCGCGCTTGCCAGGCAAGTGCTGTGCCGCTGAGCTAAATCCCCAGTCCCCACTTTAAGAATTTGTTTCTTCTTCACTTATGTAGAGAAAAGGATCCTAAAAACTTGGTTTTCTTTCTAAATGATAACTGACATTTCTAGAGGGCTTAGCATTGGTCAAGCACTAAACTAACTACTTTCTTTATATGTTTTACTTGAATCTTCATAACAATTCTATGAACTTACATTCTTTACAACCCATCTTACCAGATGAGGGAAATAAAGGATGTGAGAGTCAAGCAAATTGTCATACCCTAGGCTGTGTGATTTCAAAATTCTACTCCTCACCACCCTCTCTAGCTACCTCACCATCTTTTTGTGGAACTGGTGATTGACATAGGACCTCTGCACTGAACTACATCCCTGGACCTTTTAAAATATTTTTTATTTAGAGACAGGGTCTCCCTAAGATGCTAAATTGCCCAGACTGGGCTAGAACTTGTAATACTATCTCAGGCTCCCAGAGTGCTGGAATTGCAGGCATACGTCACCACACCTGGCACATAGTTAGAATTGTCACTTCTGATAGCTATTTTCTAGAACTTCTGGTCTCAGAAAAATGGAACCTCTGCTGGGCATGGTGGCACACACCTGCAATCCCAGCACAAAAGAAGTTGAGGCAGGGGGATCACTGCCGAGTTTGAGGCCAGCCTAGGCTGCATAGTGAGTTCAAGGCCATAGTGAGACTCCCCCAAAAAAACCCAAAACAAAACAAAAAAGGAATTTTACAATCCCAATAATCAGACACAAGGTCTTTTTTTTTTTTTTTTTTTTTTTTTTTGAGACAGGGTCTCGCTATGCAGTTCAGGCTCGCCTTGAGCTCAATTACAAGCGTGTGCCACCACGCCCGGCTAAACTATTCTGATCATTGGTTCTTTTCTGTTTTGTTTTGTTTTTGTTTTTTTCCAGTACCAGAAATCGAACTCACAACCTCGCGCTTGCCAGGCAGGTGCTGTGCCGCCGCTGAGCTAAATCCCCAGCTCCAATCCCAATAATCAGGACACAGCAAGAACTCTTGGAAGATGCTGATAAACTTCAGAAATTATATTTTCATTAAGGAGTGTGAAAGTTCAGAATCCATAGGCCCTCTTTATTACAGCCAAAGTGCCAGTCTATTCCTTTAGTGGAATATACCAACTTCAATTTAAGTGTTAAACCAAATTTAGAAGCCATTCACTGAAGAAAGCAAATGCAGGCAGTCTGATTCCTTTATAAACAAATCTCTCGCCAATACTTCCTTCATACATGGCAGTTGGAGGTGAGGGGGAATGATGAGTTATGTTGGCCCAACCAATAGGTTACAATAAATCAGTCTTTTTCATTAAAGATTATTCTCCCTCCTAAATTAGGAGAAGGACCTTTCCTGAACAGTGAGCCAGGAAAAACTCAGGCCCTCTTCAAAATTCAGCACAAACTTTCCCAGGTACTTCATACAGAGGCTTGCAAGAGTAATTAAAATGTAAATTTTTCTGTCACTCATTCAGTGAGAATGAGGCTACCACAAACCAACCAAAGGGGGGAGAGGGATTAATGACCAGGAAACCCACCACCACAAGAATAAAGACAGATCCCGTCACTAAGCCTAATGGTAATCCAACTAGCCTTAGTTCCCGTCACTTCCTTAACCATAGGGGAGAAATGGTTCCTCAGCAAAAGGCTGAGTCACTGGGAAGTGAATACCCATAGTGCCAGCCTCAGCTCCCATGATGAAAAACTGCACGCTGTTTCACTGCAATTATTTCCACTTGCAGTGGAATGTCTCACTTTGGATACACAAATAGTCCCCAAGGAGAAAAGTCCTTCTCCACAGGACTCTCAACAGAGAACCCTGAAAGATCTGAAGCAGAATGCTTCTTTCTTTAGTTTGCTCATTAAAGTAATAGCTGGGATGGGGTGGACACAGGTGTGGAACCCCTTCTCCCCTGGGGAAATCCCTCCCTTTCTCAGCTTTAAGGTTGCAGGGTGAAACTCAGTTCTCATTTCCTCCAGAAATCAGATTCAAGACTACAAATCCGTATCAATTGAAGCACTGATTAACATATCTGAGATCTTTTAGATTCATAACCGTCTTCATCATTCCGGGTTTTTACTTTAGTCTTCCTTTAAGCATCAATGACACACATGTATTAAAAATTTACATCTGATTTTCTAAAACTTAATACTACCAATACCTATTTTAAAACTGAAATGAGGTCTGTTGTTTTACAGAGGTTACACCTTTAACGGAGGAGTGGTAAATTTACTTTGTTCTGCCCTAGGCACCAGGCAACCACCATAGACCTATACAGTTCTTCTTGCCAGAGCTAGAAAATGGCCTCCTTTACCAACATGTTTCCCTTCCAGGCCTCTCCTAGAGGGTATGAGGTTACAAATGGCCATCCCAAAGCAGTCACATGCCCCCCCTCAACAGGATTACATTCCCCAGGCTTTCTAAATCTCTACTGCCCCCCACACACTTCATTTCACATGGTTGTACAGTGAAGGCAAAAGGCTAGGAAGGACAACCTGGAGACAAATATTAGTGCCAGCAACCAAGCACCAATAACCTTTTTATGTAGCTCTTTCTGCATACAGAGGTCAAAAGGGAGCACAACAGGATCTGCCCTAATTATCAGTGAAAGCACCTCTTCAATCCAGGGATTACTGAATTGCTGGCGGCAGGGAATGCTTCCTGACTAGCATTCCAAAATAACAGAGCAAACCCAGGCAAGGTGGTGCAGGCCTGCAATCCCAGCACTTCCGAGGCGGAGGCAGGAGGATCGCTACAAGTTTGAGGCCAGCTTGGGCTACAAGCGAGTTGAAGGCCAGCCTGAACTGCAGCCCTGTTCCAAAAAAAAAAAAAAAAAAAAAAAAAAAAATCACAGAGCACAGTCAGTCTCGGGGGCAAGACTGGATAAGCAAACAGGCCAGCACTATCTCAGGCACTTTCACCCTTGCCCAGCCTGTCCTTGGCCAACAGCCCACCGCCAGTTCCTCACACCTACATGCTACTCCACGCAGAAACACAGCAAGAACACTGGACGAGACATAAGTAAATATGACCTTGAACAAGTCATTTTTCCAATTCTCACTCTTCCCAACCATAAAAAGCAGCCAGGGAGGGATGGGAAGGAGGGGAGTAAGATTTGTCCATTTTACGGGGTTGTAAACTCCAATCCTTCATTCATTCACTCAATTACATCTGTGGATGCATTTTGGACGCAGTATTTGTGGCATGCTGCTGATCTGCAAAGTCCTCCACAAGCACACGTATTTCCTGGTGTCCTGAAGTGTCGCTCCCCCCACGCCTGGGGTCGAGCATGTGCATGCGGCCTGCGCCTTCGCTGGGATCCGCAGCGGCTTCACGAGGAGGCTTGCATACGACTGACTGCTCTTAGGTAACCTGGGGGGCACCCTAGAAAGGCCTGGCCGCCACAGGCGGCTCCACGCGTGTCGGAGTCGGTGAACGCTCCAACTAAAATGGGAGCTTTTCGCCAGGCGGCGTCCTGAACAGCTCGATGGGCTGCGACCGCCCCGTCCTCCGGGCGGCCTCCCGCGCCACTGGGTGACCTTGAGCACGTCGACTCCCCACCTCGCACCCACCTCCGCGCCCGCGAACTAGGCTGATGGAAAGCCGCCTCCCGGCGCCGCCCTCCCGAAAGCGCCGCGCGAGCCGGGCGGCCTCGAGGCCGCACGCCGGCCTCCACACCGCCGCTCGCGGCCGGCCCGCCCGTACCTCGCAGCGCCTGCCCGCCGCGCTTCGCCTCTTCGTGGCCCGCCGGGCTCAGGTCGGCATCGTACCAGCCGCTGAAGCGGTTCTCCAGGTTCCAGGCGCTCTCGCCGTGCCGGATCAGCACCAGCTTATAAGCGGCCATGGCGAAGGGTTAGGGATGCGGCGTAGACTGAAGCTGACTGAGATTCTGGTGGCAATCCGCCCGCCCCCCACCCGGACGCGCCTGCGCGCTAGCACCCCCCGCCCGGCTCCAGCGCACTTTCTCTACCAAATCTTTCCACTTGCTAGACACTTCCCTCCACCCGCCAAGGGTGCGCATGCGCCCCATGCCGGCGCTGCGACCGCCTAGAGGAGGGTGGTGCGCGCGGGGACGCCAGGGCGCATGCGCAGACCGCTGTCGGCCCCGCGTCTTGTGCGGCGGTCACGGAGCGCACGTAAGCGCGAAGCAAGGCTGGGGCGCTAGGTTCACGCGGCGGGATGAAGAAGCTGCTGTGCGGTCTCCCCTTCCAAGGCCATGATCCCCTAAGGCCTGACCTTTAAACTTGTACCGCGCTTAGCCGCGCGAGGTTACTGACTCACCCCTATGCAGTTTAACACATCTTCCTTAGAATCTTCATCTTCCATTTTATTTGTTTTGTCTTTTGGGACAGGATCTCGCTATATAGTCCAGGCTGGCCTTGAATTCATCGTGTAGCTCAGGTTGGCCTCGAGCTCGGGGATCCTCCTGCCTCATCCTCCCCAGCGCTGGAATTGCAGGCGAGCGCCACCACACCCAGTTCATTGTGTTTGCTTTGTATCTCTGGCAGGTCACGAAATGTTTCTCAGCCTCATCCGTAAAATGGAATGAATTTTACTAGTACTGTGTGGAAATGTTCGCAGGTTGTTGCTCTTGCTATTTCACTTCACTAAGACTCTGAGCTGTTTACTCCTATTTTAGCAGATAACGATCCTGACTCTGACTCTGGTGATGCCAAAGGCCTGCTCCGCATCTGACACCGGGCTCTTGACTCCCAATCCCACAAGATTTCACACGCCTCAACTTGAAGCTTCCTCCTCCAAGGACCAGGCAATCGCCAAGCCCCTTCAGACATTCCAGAAAGGAGCAGATTTTCGTGACTGCCTGTGTCTCTTCTGGCCCAATCAGCAGTTTAAATATATGCTTTTGTGGACAGCTTTCTCTTCCCAGGTCACTGACTCCTGGTTAATTTCAATCTAGCTGCTTTAATGAGCAGGAAACATGGGCCAGACCAAGGGCTAAAGCCAAGGATGGATTAACTGTGACCATCCCTGCCCTTCATGGTGAGCAGAGGGCAAATAAGAGCTATAGTTAAACAGTTAATTTTCCCTCTGTGTGCTAGGCCTTAGCAGAGAATCTAGAAGTTTTTAACACTACATGCACTAAAATAGCACATACTCCATTCCAGCCAGCCTTGTAAGTGCTCCAAAGCTTTCACTCCTTCAATCCTTCTGTCTTCATGACCTTCTGAAGCAAGTATTGATTGTGATGTATGGGAAATAATATAACTCCCCACCTGCTGGATGTCAGACATGCTGACTTCATGTTTCCCAAAATCAAAGAATGAATTGTAAGGAACAACTGAGGTTAAGAGTAAGAAAAATTTGAGAAAGAGCTCATGAGGACAGGAGGGTACCCCATTTCACAGAAGAAGAGTTATAAAACAAAATCACGAGAAAGATACAACGTGGGACAAAACTATGATCAACCAATAAGATTACAAGTATAACCACTTAGGTAATATTAATCCGATGGGGAAGCAGGTCATGCCTTAGCAAGGGTACATGGAAGGAACCAAGGACCTTTTTAGGAAGAGATAAGTCAGGAGGTCCTGGTCAGCTATCTGGGTGATGGATGTCTATCTAGACTTTATTGGACCAAGTGACAATTGAAGATTCTAGTCTAATTTTCAATTTATTGCTTAACCCTCGGGGAGGTGTGTACTTCTAGTTATTTCATCTTTATGTTTCGGCGCGACCTTCAACAGATGTGCCTCCAGCCACAGTTGCAATGTGTTCTCATCTTCTTCACTGACTGCCTTGTCCCTGTCTAACTGTCTATAATCTTTCTACCTAACTTTGCTGTCTATCATAGCTGTCCCCACTTACAGGTGAGGAAACTGAGGGTGAGGTAATTTGCCCAACATTACAGGAACCAGGATTCAAGCCTCAGCCTGCAGGCTCCCAAGTCCGTGCTCTTAAACTATACTCTGTACAGCCTCCGTATTTTTATTGCTGTCTTGGTTACTTTTCTCTCGTTGCTGAGACAAAATACCCAACTCCCAAAATTAAGGGAGGAAAGGTTTATTTGGCTCACAGTTTGTGGAGGTTTGAGTCCATATTAGCTGGCTCGAACAACAAACCTGTGGGTTATGAACACTTGGAGGATATTTGGAAGTCACAGCCCGTTACCCTCCCTGTCCTCCAGAACAATAAAAGCCTTCCTCAGCTTTCCTTCCCCATTTATTATTTTCCACAGAAGGATAACTCCCTTCTCAAGCACTGAACAGTCAGTGAAGGCCTAGCATGAGTGGATGAACTAAGGTTTCTGAAGGGTTGAAGAAGCAGTGGCTGTCATCCTCCGGGACTCCTGTGAAGAAGACACCAGCATGTCTTTACTTGCGCAGCCAACTTGTGAAATTCTTGCCAGATGTTCCACTCTCCCAGCTGAACAGTGTGTGGGGAGAAGATGTAGGCCACAGAGCGGGAGTAAGCTGCGCTGATGCACATTATCTCTGCGCTTCTGGGAGAAGGCACTGTGTTTCCTGGCTCCACTCTTCAAGATTGGACCTGACGCTCGTGCTGCAGCCCTCACACACCGTCACCACTGAAGACAAACAGCCAGAGCGGTGTTCCCAGAAAAGCAGGAAGAGTTCTGCAGCAGCTTTGTGGCTTCCCTGAGGACTCACCTGATAGCAGGCCCAGCTCTGGTAATGTTAGTTTTGGAATGCTAGGGTCTTGGCTTCCAGGTTCTATCTCAAATAAGGAATTGAGCGAAACCCACAAAAAAGGTGACAACGTTTATTTGAAAATTTAAAAGGACTAAGAGAGAAACTGGCTCTGCAGAGCGAAGTTGGGGCAAAGTAAAAGAGAAAAATAAAAACCAAAATAAAACTACACCCAGGGACAGAGGTCAGCCCACACTTTCAGCAGCATCCAGTCTCTTTATTTAGTCCACACTTTGCGGGAAACAACAAGAACTACCACATATGGGGTCCTGAGAATTATTTGGCATTTGGCGCCTGTGTCGTGGAATCTGGTCACGCTCACTTCCCCATTCAGCTTTGCCATCCCTTCCTTCCTGCCTCAGTAGTAGTCTTCCCTTCTGCCTTTATGGGACTTGTTCGAGTTTGTTTGTGGTAGTGGGGATTGAACCCAGGGCCTTCACACTGAGGTCCATCCCTGGTTGTTATTTATTTAGTTAGTTAGTTAATTTATTTTTGAAACAAGATCTTGGAAAGTTGCTAGATTGCTCAAGCTGGGCTCAAACTTGCAATCCTTCTGATTCGGCCTCCCAGAGTGCTGAGATTGTGGGCATGTGCCACTGAACCTGACTTATATTTCAGACTGCGGTGGAGGAAAATGTCCAGCCTCTCAGACCTGGCATTGGGAGTGGGTGCAGGATTGTCCTACCTCAGAAATATGGTAGCATACACCTGTAATTCCAGTGCTTGGGAGGCTGAGGCAGTAAGATCACCTAGAATTTGAAGCCAGCCTGGAATATATAGTGAGACTCTGTATTAAAAAAAAAAAAAAAAAAAAAGAGTAAAAGAAACATTGACAAGAACAGCCAACAGAAACACACACAAGTTCCTCAAATGGTTAAACACAGAGTTATTGTAAGACCCAGAAATTCTACTCCTAGCTAGGTATTCAAGATACATGAAAATGCACCTCCACACACAAATGCATACAAAGCGAGGTGTGGTGATGCATGCCTGTGATCCCTACACTCAGGAGGCTGAAGCAGGAGGATCACCATGAGTTCTAGGCCAGCTTCAGCTATACAATGAGTTAAAGGCCAACCTGAGCTACATAGTATGACCCTGTCTCAAAATGCTCCCCCAAAAAACTTATACTATTGTTCATAACTGCATCATTTACAATAGCTGAAAGATGGAAGCAATACGAATGTCCATCAACTGATGAATAAATAAACAAAATGTGGTATAGCACACAGTGGAATATTACTTGGCCATTAAAAGGAATGATGCATTTATGCATACTATACCGTAGTTGAACCTTGACATGGTAGGGCGAGTGTGGTGGCACACACCTGTAATCCCACCACTTGGGAGGCTGAAGCAGGAAGATCGCCATGAGTTCAATGCCAGCCTAGGCTACATAGTGAACTCAAGGTCAGCCTGAACTACACAGTGAGATCCTGTCTAAAAGAAAAAAAAGAGAGAGAGAGAAAGAAAGAAAGAAAATATGATAATGACAGAAGCTGGTCCCCCTGGTCCAGAAGGCCATGTATTACATGATTCCACTTACATGAAATATCCAACATATCCAGGCAAATCTATAGAGACAGAGATAGATCAGTGGTTGCCTAGGGCTAGGAGGTTGGGGGTATAAATAAGGGATTCAGGGTTTCTTTTTGAGCTTCTGAAACTATTCTCAAATTTACTTTTGGAGACACTGAAAACCACTGAATTGTACACTGTAAATGAGTGAAGTGTATGGTATGTGAATTATACATTACAGCTGTTTTTCAAAATGTTGTAAACAATTATTAAGAGAAAAAGGAATCCCACCCACAGGAACCTTGCTCTGTGAGAGGAGGTGGGCAGCGCCTTGGGGAACCTCACGTGGCTGTGAAATGCAGGAGGGAGGACAGCAGTCTCAGAACTGTGGCAGGGCAAGAACTTCAGGCACTTGGGGAGCTGGAGGCAGGAGGCGCAGAGGGGCCAAACCTGCTGTGTGTTCTGGCCTGGCCGGGGCTGCCCGGCTCTGCCCACTGGCGCTTCGGTCTCCCTTAGAGCACAAGTGACTGGAAAGCAGGCTCCTCGGTTCCATCTTGACTTGATCTACCTCTCTGCTCTGCAGCTCATCACTCTGTGTTGGGAGCTTCCTAGGCCCAGGGTGTTAGAGGCAGATGACAAAAGCTGGATCTCAGGGTCATAGTTCAGGTGAGGTAGATGTTCTTCTTCCTGCTGGCCCATATAGCTCCCTCCCCCAAGCAATCAGCCCTTTGTCAAAGTAGACCAACTCTTGGGAGAGCAAATGTTTTGAGGCTCCAGTTACCTGAGAGAAAATAGAAAGCTCTTACCAATAGGAAAGACTATTCTTTTGCCATGACAAGTTACCCCACACCCAGTTTTAAACTAATCATGGACAACTCATCTTCACATAGCTGAACAAGAACAATCTGGCTCCTGACTTCACTCCTGGCAGCCAGCTATGCTCAGCCGTCACACTCTACTTAACCAGCCAGTCCCACAGCTCTCCCTCCTGAGCCTCAGTTTCCCTACCCTCAGATCACTTCCCTGCTCCACCCGTAGTGACTGAACCTGACCGGCGTAGTTCTGCCTTCTTTAAGCAAGTAATCTATTCAGCCCTTGGTTTTTTTGTTTTTTTGTTTGTTTGTTTTTGAAACAGGATATGATTAAATTAGTGAAGACAGTTTTGAACTTGAAATCCTCCTGCCTCAGCCTTCTGAGTGTTGGAACTACAGGTGTTTGCCACCATGCCTGGCCCCATTCAACCTATTGTTTCAAATATTGCATGGCCTTCTGCAGCAATGGTGTTCTAGGCACTGTACTAAGCATTTCAGGTGTATGCTCATTTTAGCCTCATAACATAACAGTGACCCATTTTCAGATAGGAAAACTGGCTCAAACAACTCAGCTTCCTGCTCCAGATCTCTAGCTAGCATGTGGCTCTAAACTTAAGCTTCCTAAATCCAAAGTCTGCACTGTAACACAAGGAGCAGCTGTACCTGCACCATGTGGGGGCTAGTGGAGGGCAGGGCAATAAAGCTCCGGCCCTCAGGGAACCACCCAGGCCATCTGTTTCCTTTTTGTTTGGGGCAAGAGGCTTCCCTCAATTTCCCTTTCCTCCTGCCCAGTGTGCTAACCGATTACAGCCCCACTGACCTAAGAATGACTTCCAAGATCCTCCCAGCAGTGATCCTCCTGTCTCAGCCTCCTGAGAGCTGGGATTACAGGTGTGTGCCACTACACCTGGCTCTAAGTGCAGAATTTGTCCTACAGATGTAGTGGTTCTTCTTAGCCACATGTACTATAGCTAGTTAGGGACACAACAAAACTCATGGGATGAAGTCATCGCTGGAATTCAGAGGTGGGGAAGTTGGTCCTTCATTTTTTTTTTTTTTGTCCTTCACCAAGGATGTGAGTCCTGGGGTGCAGAATGAGAGAGCCTATACTCAGGACCTCTGGATACCTCTTGTCTTCTCCTCTGGCACCAACTGCCTGCCGGAGCAGGCTCTGAACAGATACCCCAGGACTAGAGGGCCAGCAGGTGGCCGGTAGCCCCTCAGTGTGCATTCCCACATTGAAGAATCATCCAAGGGCTGTGTCCAGTTGCACACTCAAAGTGGAAGTAAGAAGGCTTCTGTTGCACAGGAAAAAATAGGAAGGCTGGGCCTCTGACTTGCCCCATCTGTTTTGCAATCCTAGCCTTTTTATCAACTTTTTCATTCCAGCCATGCAGCCTTTCTATGGAGGATTGGCCTAATTGTTTCTAGTGCTCCCTCTGGTGGTAAAGATTCATCCCTCTACCTTTTGCAAGGAAACACCCATGCCTTTGGAACATTGTCCACGTTTTAATACAACACACACTTTCATATTGAACCTTCACAATAGCTCAGAGGCTTAGTATTTCATATTCTTTGATGAATATGAAACATAACCTTAAGTTAAGATGAACCAACACTTTCTCTGCCTCCTTCCACCGACTGTTCACCACCAAAGTCTCTGCTTGTTAGCAGCATCTTGCTTGCAATAGTTTCCACACTCGGTTTCCTCTTCTGCCCCAGGCCACTGTTTCCTTTTGCTCAAGCCCAACAGCCCAGTCTCAACTTGTGCCTCAGGAAAGGGGCCCACAGGAAGTGGTAGAGTCTCTCTCAGGCTGGAGGGACTAGGCCCACAATCATTGCTGACTTTTGTCTTCTGTACAGCGATGCTTTCTCATATTAGCAGTCTCTCCCCTGCCCTGGTAGTGGGGACTGAACCCAGGCCCTCTTGCCTGCTAGGGACATGATTTACCACTGATCTATGTTCCTAGCCTTTAAAAGTTTTTCCTTTTTTTAAAAAAACTTATTTTAAAGAGGAAAAAAACCCCAAAATTTCAAAACAAGATAATAAGAGAGTAACAATGATTAATACATTGTGTATTATTGTTATTATTATTATTATTTTTTTGGTACCAGGAATCTAACTCAGGACCTCATTCTTGCCAGTCTGGGGCTGTGTGACTGAGCTGTATCCCTGGGCCTCTGAGTAACTAAAGATAACAATATGCAGGGCCAGGGATTTAGCTCATTGGCACAGTGCCTAACTGGCAAAAGTGAAGTTCTGAGT